CGAACTGGCTGCCGAGATAGGTCGATCTTCCACTCAGCAGTCGATATGTAGATCCAAAAAACGATCAATTAAAAAAAATGTTGATGATTTTTTTTGCATAAAGCAATTCATAGGAGTTACCTCCAATTAATGCACATTTTTTTTTTCATGATTATATATACTATTATTTTAAATTATTCTTATATCAATTACATTAATTGTACGATCTGAAGGCAGTTATATTTCCCGATCTGAATTTTGAGTTAGCTCGCATTAGATCTAGGTGTGCGATATGTATGCACATCGCCATAAAGAGATGTACTTAAGTAGCAAAATTCGTCAGATATACATATAGTCGTTTAAAGTAAAAAACCGCGTATCGTCGTTCAGCAAAACTGCGTAACTGACATTTTTTGCCAAAAATTGGATTTGCTCAGAAAGCTCTGGGCTCAAGCTTTATCCATTCGTTCTGAAATATACTAGTCCATAAACGCGATTGCTTTATAAAAAAGAGAACCATTTTGAAATATGAGTGTTTTTACTCTCTAGAAAATAATTTGTGCAACCTCACATAGGCTGTTTTGCATTATCTTGTTACGCGGTTTTGTACTTTAAACGACGATATGCACATACCTCCTTTAATTTATTTTTAAGTAGAATAACTATGTTTTCTTATTTGATAACTAATATTGAAAAGAAAATTATCAGGGACCAAAAATAACTGTTATCTCGAATTTAAAAATTGTAAGCGTTGCTCAAATTCTGAAATTTTACGAAAACGTTGTTTCATAACAGTTATTAGATGAAAAATATTTTTTATTTCGCCGATAAGAGTTATTTTTTACGTTGTTTGATAACAGTTATTGCCCAATGTTTATTTTTTACGTTGCTTGATAACAGTTATTATCCAACGTTTACGAAAACGAAGATAGGGAAGAAGATAAAGATGAAGAAAATAAAATTGGAGGAGTGAAGTAACTGTTATCAGACAGTGTAAAAATAAACGTTGGGCAATAACTGCAACGTAAAAAATAAACCTTGGGAAATAACTGTTATCAGGCAGCGTAAAAAATAAACGTTGGGAAATACCTCTTATTGGTGACGGAAAACATATTTCTCCTGTATTACAGTTATCAGGCAACGTAAGAAGTAAACGTTCGGTTATAACTCTTATCGGCGAAATAAGAAATACTTCTCATCTTATAACTGTTATGGAACAACGTTTTTCGATAAAACTTATAACTGTTATGTCCCTGGAAAAAATATCTCTCGAAGAGAAGGTATGGAAAGAATTAGTTTTGCTTTTGGCTAACTGCTGCTATTTAAGATTGGTCCCTTCCCATTGTGAATAAACATCAGTGAGCAGTGCTTGAGTAAATGTCATATAAAAGTATGCACGGATCTGTCAGGGTTAGCCACAGGAAATTACATATAAAAAACTATCAAGAAGCTCAGTATATAAATATTATAAATAAATGATGGTGATGGGGACGTATGTATATAAATATGTAAATATCGTACTTGATCCGTATTTTTATTTTTCAATTATTTTTACCCAGTTTCTGTAGCCGCATGTAATTTTTTCTTGTATTTGTAGGTATGCGTTTATTTATAGCAAGTCTTAAAACCTAACATAGAAAAACTGGTATAGTTGAATCAGATTTGTAGTAAACAGTAGGACATGTCTATATAAAAACACACACACTCAAAATTCTATTGCATGTAAAAGCTTATGTCTTTACTAATACAAAACAGTACGAAGTATATAAAGCTAACTACGTACATATATACATACATATAGGTAAATCCATGTCAAATCGACCAATGGTTGAAATTTGCCATTTTTTGATTTGGATAAATTTTGGTCAGAATTTTTCTTTTATCATAAACGAAGTTCTGCCAAAAGAAAAAAAATATATATTTTTCGAAAGATATGCAAAGTTACACATCGTTCTAAAAGCGATATTTGGGGTTTTAAAGAAAAATAAACATATAAAGCAAGTAATTAAAAAAAAATGTTAAGAAAATTTTTTTTTGCAATTTTTTTTTGTTATTTCTTCGACACCTGCTCCACCTAGTGATTAATTCATCTTAGAATCGAACACGAAAAGTGAAAGGCAACATTTCTTGGTAGAAACGAAATCACCATTAATAAAAGCTTGTAAAAAAGTTTGAAAAATAAAAAAAATTACATATTTATGTACATAAATTTTTGATTTTAAAATTAAGCATATATTCAAAATCTGTATTTTTTATTTTTCGAATTTACTTTAACGTATTTTTTAGAACGAGACCAAAACCACATTTTTAACTATAAAAGTTGTTGAGATATTAAAAATAAATAAAATTGGAGAATCCCGGAAATTGTGAAACTTAAAAAAAAAATGTATTTAATTTCTTTCCTTTTGTGGAATTTCGTTATATGATTTAAAACAAGTAATTTTTAAGCAAAAAACAAAGCCGACTTCAATTCTTATATACAAATTTAAGAGTATCGTTAATTTCTTCATGATCAATATTCGGATCTAAACCAAATTAGTATGGGACCAGCTCTGAGTTGTAACATTTGCTTTAAAAAAAGGAATATAGAAATCGGTTAACGTGGTTCAAAGTTATGCGGTAACATACATAAAAAGAAAATATTCCGACGAATTGATAACCTCCTCCTTTTTTGCAGTCGAATAAAAATTAAAAAGCTCAGACCAAAATTCATCCAATAGAAAAATGGTCGATTCCAACTATTGGTCCATTCGACATGGTTTGGCCCATATACATACATACATACATTTTTAGTAAGTTGTACACACACTACTATTCAAAAAGTTGCAATTCAATTTTTGCACAAATTTTTGCTTCAGTGCCTTAAACACACATACACATACACACATGCAAATTTATGTTGCAAAGTCGACAGCAAAACTTTTGAAATAAAATACCATTGCAGTACTTGAGAAAGTAAACGAAAAGTCTTAGCAAAAAGAACAACAACAACAAAAAAAAAATACAAGTATGTAAGAATAAAGCAAAAAAAGTGTAATTTTCTACTGAATTTGTGCAAAACTGAAACGAAGCCTGTTTAGCTACATATTTTTTAAGAATATATTTTAGTAAGGTAGTGATTTACAATATGCAAATACATTCATACATACACAAGATATACATATATAGGCATACAAACAATACATAAAAATGTAATAGCAATAAATGTATAAGTATTCAAACGCAATTATCATACGTGCACATATACTACATACATATACAAAATGTATATGTATATACATATATACAAACAGATACACATACATGTAAATATACCGGGTATCTTAGACCACCCGTCCACGTCTTCTAAAATGGAGGAAAATGCTTTCTATTGGAAAACGCAAAACTACGAAGTTTGGTCGTACTACCGACTTCCAACTTAAACTGGCCGGAATTCCATGCTTTTAAATGGGACATACATATGTATATATTTTCATTACAGATTCTGAATTTTTGGTCAAAAATAAATAACTTTTGTTTGAAACCTTTTTCTCGGAAGTACCTTTTTTAACCTGTAAAGGACCTTCGAACTTAAATACGTCCTGGACTACGAAAATCGTGGAAACTGGTTTTTATCGGAAAATTCAAAAATATAATTTAACTAGTCGGGGATGCTCTAACTTTTGGTCGTATTACCGGCTTCGGTTTTCGACCCAAAATAGATTAAACAAACCGGAAGTCCGTTCTTTTAACTGAAAGTCCATTCCAGAAAAAAGTTTCCCACAAACGTTACGTATTTTTGACCGCAAAATCCGAATCTGTGGTAGAAACATGCATGCCCCGTTTAAAAAGGTCTATTTAACCCATTTCCGGTAGAAACCAGAAGTCCGTATTACGATCAAAAAATAGAGCATCCCCAACTTGGTAATTAATATTTTTGCGTTTCTTTTCCCAATAAAAAACATGTTCCTCCATTTTAGAAGAGGTCTAGGAAATATATTGAAATTAAGTACATAAACACTTACATACATACTTACTTATGTATATTCAAATTATATTTAAAAAAAATAAACAATAATAAAAATTATAATGATCTGAGTTCATCGAAAATATTCATTTAAAAAAGCTTCCCCTTTTTTGACGCCAGTGTGATAATAGGTTTGTTCCACTAACTACTCGAAGTCACTTCGAGTTACACATACGCGTTCCACCAGTACGTTTTAGAGTTTCTTTGATATGCGCTCACAGTTTGAACTTTGCTTGAGTTTTTCTAAAAGTAGCTTGTGGAACAAACCTAATAGTGAGCCCTAAGAATGTTACGTCTTAATTCGGTTAGGTTAGGAAGGCGCGTTCGAATGACTCGTACTTCCACCTAAAGGCAGACTTGCCCATAGTAAATGCTCTCCAGAAGGAGGCACATCTTTCTAACCGCAGTTCTTGTCAGTATAGTGTCTGTTTAACCATTTAATAAACCGAATGAAGCTGTGGAGCTCCTATATTTTCACCACCGCTATTTCCCCTAACTATTAGAAAATCGTGGTCTCAAATGCTTGAGAAACCTTATCCGGAAAGCTGGCCAGTGGCATAGGAAGTGGAGAATCGGTACCTCACCACGACAACTTCTGGAAAGGGAGTTTGGCAGTATTGGTGCTACAGAACAATGAGCTGTGATGATGATGTAAGAGCCCTTACCGCAGATTCGTTTAGCGGCAATAATTCTTTAGTACAACTCTTATTGAGTCTCGGTCATAAGGATCTTGAGATCTCACATTGGTCCCGATTGATTCATAGGACATTATTTACGGCTGTGATGTATTCTTCAACCCACCTTAGTAGAACAGAAATCGGTGGTAGTAGGGAGTTATAGGCTTCGCCCATTTGCCATCTCACCGGCTATTTCGTTGCGTTCGATATTGATATGTCCTGGAATACAGCAGCGAAACTTTTTGATATGACTCAGTAAATCCCTGTAATCCCTTGCTTTTCCAATCTACTTTCGAATTTACCACCTTGGAACCTAAAGTTTTGAATGCCGCCTGGATGCCAATGAATAAAAGGACGTTTCCTAACCGAAACTTACTATTCCGTATTGAACAAGCCGCTTTCGATGTGATAAATATCTTCACCTGAAAGACAATGCAGTTTACAGGCAGGCGGTGGGATTACCTTATGTACAGGTCATTGGAGTATAGACCCGTGCCGAATCCTTTTTCCATCATTGGGCCATCAAAAGTGGAAAAACAATAATTTACCGACTGCAGGTCGCCTGCCCAATCTTCCCTAGTTGGAAAATGTATGGGAATCTTAAGACTAAAACCCCATAATAATAATAATCAGTTTCGACTTCTAAGTCGACCTTGATTCCGTTACGCCATCCACTATTCATTACGCTCAAGACCGCTGCATACACGCAAATGGTCTGCTTCCACAATTCCGATTTCCTTAGTCTAACGGATGCGCCTGTTACGTGGTGGCTTCTTGTGGTGCATTTCTCACGACGCCTGATATACCGAGGCAAGTCTCTGCACTCTTTCCATTATTTTCTGAATGCTGCTTTGCACCAGACCAGCCCTACATAGGTAAAAATCTGCGCTGTACTCTCCCCGAAACTTTTTAGCGTCCAGATGACCACGTTGCCATCTGAATTCAACTTAGTATCCTACGCCGCTTATAAAGTAAGGGCTGCGGACCAAAATGGATTCTACACTACCATCAAAGTTCAGATTTTCTGTAGATAAAAAGTTGGACCCATTCTTCACCTAATGGACTGAGAATAGCCGAATTAATCTGGGACTGTAAGACGACGCCACCAGCGATCCGAATGTGAGTCGCCCCAAAATCCTGAAGCACATTTTGATGGCCTCCCTCACTTGTCTACGCCGACCTTCGCGAGGAAGCGCACCAATGTCCTCAAGCCGCTAACGAGCCTCTCATGGAGAGCGAGTTAAAAAAAAACCTTCCCCGCGACTTAAAAAGCAACTCTGAAGCCGATTGGATGACAGAAAGCAGCGACCCACGCAGTGGATAAATCTATAAGCTTCTTAAGTATCAGATGCGCGGTAGAAGAATATACAAACTTCTCAAAATGCTCCAGAGATAGTTTCAGGCATCTAACGTCTTATGTCTTCGTAACATTACGTATTTAACAAAAGCGTATTTTAATACTGAACTGCTTCCAAAAGGACAGAATGCGGATCAGCCTATGCTCACGACCCCAAATTACATGCCACTACCCGTTAGTTTCGAGAGCATTAAGTAACCACGAAAAGCAAGAAGCTGTTTAGCCCAACCCTGGTCGGGCTTGGTCATCAGCTTACTCCGCATCTCCAGCTCGGTAAGTACTTGTCCTACATATGGCCAAAGGTCCTGCTGCTCTTCGCATGTCCTAGATATTTTCAGACCTATGATACAAAAAGATCATGTTCAGACCCAAGTCAAGTTTCATAAATCACCATTTTAGTTACTGCCACGCAGGTAATTAAATATACGTATTTTATATGCTCCGTTTAACACAAAATATTTACATATACGAGTATATAGCACAACAATAAAAAATGCAAATATTTATACATTTAAAAGATATACATAATATTTTCTTATTTTCCGTTATTTTTTCATAGTTCCCAATTCTTGTAAATCGCAGACTTTTGTAATTTTAACATTAGCAATATTGCCGGCAGATTTCGTCGACCAGTTTCTTTCGACGCTTCTTCAGATTACCGCGTATCTTTTGCGAGTCGATAATGTAGCAAATGAGATCATGCAAGCTCTCGAAACATAATAGTCCAGCTGTACCGCAATTGAGATGCAAATAACGGAAACGATTCACATTACATGTACAGCCATCGAATAGGAAGTAGATTTTATGATGACAGGAACGACCACGAAAGACCACATAATTGCCCCAAGATGTCATTGTGAGTATACGATCGGCGCATTTGAAGCCGGCGCGTAAGAGTTTACATATGCTCTCATAAGTGCCGCTCTCCGACCCAACAACTGCCATATCGTAAGCCACACTCGAATAGCCGGGATAATGATTGGGCCTGCATGAGAGTTCTTGGACGCCCGATTGCTCATAGCGATCGCCGGGACCATAGCAGCCTTCATGTCCATCGGGGCCTTCAACATCTTTGTGCAAAGTATCATCACCTTCACGGCGTCTCCTTTCCTCATCGCGCAGTATTTCACTTGGTGTGCGTTTATCCTTATCCTTATCGGCATCCTTGTGTTTGTCCTTATCCTTGTCCTTGTCCTTATCCTTCTCCTTGTCCATGTCCTGGTCCTTGTCTTTGTCTTTATCCTTGTCCTTGTCCTTATCGGCCTTTTCTTTATCTGCTTTTTCTTTGTCTGCCTTATCTTTATCAGCTTTGTCCTTATCAGCCTTTTCTTCATCAGTCTTTTCTTTGTCTTTGTGCCTTTTCTCCTTATCCTTTCTATCTCTCTCGGCTTTATCCTTCTCAGATATTTCTTTATCAGACTTTTCCTTTTCCTTCTTATCTTTGCCACCCTTCTTATTAACTTTCTCAACATCTGATTCATCCCCTGACTTCTTGCCTTTTTTATCTTTTTTCTTCTTATTTTCATTATCTTTCTTGTCTTTGTCTTTCTTTCCCCTCTCCTTGCTTTTGCCCTTACCCTTTTTTTCCTTATCTGTCTTGTCACCTTTTGCCTTTCCCTTCTTCCCCTTTTCTTTGCCTTCTCTCTTCTTACTCCTTCCACGGCTGCCATCACCGTCTCTTCCTTGCCCCTTTTGCTTTCGCCCTCTGCTCTTCTTTCTTCTGTCTCTACCATGACGGTGACCGTCATCACTAGAGGACGATTCATGCTCGCCGAGATCTTCCAATGCGCCTTCCTCCTCCTCTAACTCTTCCTCAGACTCTTCGGTCTCACTCCTATCTCGCATATCCATCTGTATTATACCAGATGTAATGTCGTCCTCCTCCTCATCATCCACGGCCAGATCGAGCTTGCATTTCGTTTCGTCCTCTTCAAAGCAAAGTGTCTCATTTAGCGACTTCACCTCAAAATCAGCATTGAGTATTGGCTCATCCTGCGCTGGTGCACCTTCCTTGCGCGACGACAATTCGATATTATTGATCTTGAGCACATGCACGGCAAACTGCGTTGTGCGGTTCGTCTCCAAGAGCATCTGAGTGAACACTTTCAGGAGCACTTCAAGTGAGCGAAACATTCGCAAAGTTGCCTTCTTTTTTATGACCGCACCCTCCTCTCCTCCCTCCAGTAAGCCCTCCACTCGGTGACGATATGGATCGAACAAGTAAAGGAAGTTATTCTTCTTGAAAACTGCGTAAATATTCTGATCGATTTGTACTAGCAAGTTGTTGTCGCCGGCATCGAAGCTACTGATCAACGCAGATTCGAGCTCACTCTGTTTGAAATTGGGCACACACTTCCAAGTGCCCGTAAACTTACGCGGCGTAAGGGTAAATGCAGCTTTGAATTGTGCGATTTTCAGACGATTCGGAAAACGATCGATTTCGATTGGCATCTTCGCCTGTAGACACTGCTCCCAACAACAGACGCAGACATTCACGCCATAGCAAATGATCTTATCGAGTATTTTCTCATTCCAAGTGGCAGGATGATCAATCTTGGCCGCGAGTAAAGCCGCCACGCCCACTGGTAGTGCGCTGCGCGTGCGAATTGGATCGGTGCTATTGCGTAGTAGATGTGAGTCGGCCTTCAGCACAGCATAATCGTCGTTAATCACCTGGTACTGATGTTCGCGCTTAGCAAAGTCACGACTCACGGTTTTGCCATCTTTCCCGATGAGCTTCACAATTTTCATTTCGCGCAAATTGAAAGGATCGGTGGGCTGTATGCCCGATAAATTACTAATCAAGTGTATGACATTATCAAGCGCCCTGAGACAGATCAACATCGCCTTGCCATTCTCCTTGTCCGTCTCCAAATCGTCCAGCTTGCGACCATACAGGTCCAATACGAAATAGATGCCGCGCGAACGCCAAACCATTTTATAAGTCCCCGCTACCTTGATAAGGCAGAAGCGATGCTTTGAAAAGAACTTCTTCATTGCGACTTTCAAGTTATCCATTGTCATATCGGGTGGTGGTTCGTCCTCCGTGCCGATTGGTGGTGGGCCAAACCTCATTTTCTCACTGAGTTCTACTTCAAAATCGATATCATCTATGGTGTGCCAACGCTTGACTTTGCCTTCCATTTGCGAGTAGATATACGCTGGTGATTCGTCAGTATGCTGCGAGTCCGGTTGCTTGGCTAGTAAAGTTTGCCCCTCCCTAATGAGGTCATCTAGGGTTTCCTCACTCCATTCGCTTTCCGGTGTGGTATGGAGTTTCATGAATGCCAGCAGCGTTGTAGCATACCGATGAGAATGTACATTTGCTGTGGTGGATTTCATGGCAATGGTGGCCTGTAAGACGCCTACTGGCGAACCAAGTGTATTCGGATTGGTACTGCTCCTACTTGACTTGCCTACGATACGGGGAGAACAGATGAATCGCAATGAAAGATACAAATTGAGTATTTTATTTATTGCCAGACTTACGCGGACTGCACGCCTTGGGATCTGGACCAGGAGCATTCAAGTCATGTCCACCGAAAATACTACACATTCTCGGCACGCACAGGCAGGTCGACGTACAAGGTGCTTCGTAGAACTTAGCGCTAAGGGGGAAATAATATTGTAAGGTGCCACATTGCGAAAGAAAATTAGCGCTCACATCGATGGGATCGGCTCGCGTTCGCATGATGGACATTTTGGTGTGCAACAAATTCCATAGTCATTTCCTCCGAGTTTATTGTCCTGATTCATTTCATTTACAAGAATTTTAGAATTTTGTTATTTTAATATTTTGCGATGTTTTTTAATATAATTTATTTATAATTATACTTATTTTGATAGAATTTTTATTATTCGTCCAAGTTATTGACAACTTAGAAATGGGTTGTTAAAATCTAAAAATTTTGTGTTTTTGAATTTAATATTTTTAGCGGAAATATGGACTGTCGTTTAGTTCAACTGACTTGGCTGTGGCTCATAGCTGAATGGTCCGAGTCTCCCGAGGCACACGAAGCTCTGTCTCGTCCACGTCTGGTGGTTGTATGCCCAGAACAGCATTCACAGGTCGGGAGTCTACATAACTCGAGACTGACCGCATAGTTCAGAACCGGCCGGCCAATCGCCTTGTACATTGCTAGCAACGTTTCTTTGTCTTTGCCCCAGGTGCCGCCGGCTAGCGACTTGAGCACCTTGTTGAGGCTTTGTACTTTGTTTACAATTGCGTTGTATGCGCCGAGAAGGAGAGCAGACTGTCGAAGGTTACTCCGAGGATCTTCGGGTTGTTCACCGTTGGAATTGGTTGTAGTCTGACCACCTCGTCCGGGTGGTAAATGGTGTTGCTGAGGATTTTATAGGGGAGAGGGTTAGGCTCCGTGCAGTGAAAAAGCGAGAAAGCTCGGCGAGATAACCGTTTACTTTCGAGCACAAGTCATCAATTCCATTCCCAGACACCATGATCGACCAATTGTTAGCATAATAGACAATCGAGACTCCCGCTGGTGGTTGAGGGGGCTTTGAAATGTAAAAGTTAAACAGTAGTGGGGAAGGACACCACCCTGTGGAACCCCCTGTTTTATTTTCCTAGGTTTGGTCGATTTGTCTCTAAAGGTTACTGACGAGTGACGACCACTTAGATAATTCGCCCACCACCGTTTGAGTCCCAGTGGGAGAGAGGGGCCCTATATGTCTTCTAGTAGCGTCGAATAGCTGACAGTGTCGAACGCCTTGGACAGGTCTAGCGCTACTAGAATGGTTCTCTTACAGTAGCGGTTGTTGTGCTGTGCACTTTACGGTACCCATGCTGATGTCTCGCTGGGGTCAGGTATAGTGCGGGAGTAGAAGTGCCTCAAGTGTCTTCTCCGCCGGGGAAAGGAGAGTTATCCGGCGACAGGACTCTCCTTTGTTAGACGGTTTCCCATGTTTAAGCAGTGGGAGCACTCTCCTCATTTTCCAGATGTCTGGAATGATGAGAGCGGCCATTGACAGATTGAGGACCTTGGTTAAATAGTCCACCCACGCGGGATCCAAATTTTTCAGCATCAACATGCGAATTCCGTCGGGCCCAACAGCTTTGGAGGCTTTCGCCTTTCCGATGGCTATCCTTACCTCACCGCTGGTGAAAACAAGAGGCGTACTGGGTGTTGGTAGTTTGTGCAGCATCTGGTCAGTATGAACTGGCGGCTAAAGTAGCTCGCGCATCGCTCCGGGTCCGACGAAGCGTGGTCTCCAAAACTGATTTCAACTCTGTCGTCACGCTTCCTCGGGTTGGACAATGCCCTCACGGTTGACCAAAGCTTGGTCACACCAGAGGCGAAGTTGCAGGTCTTCAGATGCTCTTCCCACTTCTTCCGCTTATGTACGTTCACAAGTTGCCGAATCTCCGAGTTAAGATCCCTGATAGGGGGATTTCCGGGAGAGACCTGACGAAGGTTGTCACGCTCATAGGCTAGGACAGCTGCTTCATCAGGAAAATTCGGACGGGGGTCTGGAATGCATCCTGCTGGAACGAAGCGGGCTGCAGCAGCAGTGAAAACCCTGCGGTATTTACGCTCACCTACGTGAACGCCGGTTGCTGTGGGTAGCGCAGTGAAGGTGCGTTCAGTAACATCCGCGAAGCCTTTCCAGTCAGCTTTAGAAAAGTTGGCATAGGACCGGTGTTCCGCGGAAGCAAAGTCAGCTGGTTTATCAATCGAGATAACTATGGGCAGACCACAATAGTCCAACTGCGCTCTGGTTACTGCAGCAGGTTGAACTCATACCTGAGCAGATTAAACGAAGATGTTCTCAACGAATGCCCGGCATGCGGAGAGTCGCCCCTATGGACAGACCCCGTCGAGGCAGCACGCTTGACGACAACGATTGAGGGACTAGCTGATCAGGGCAGGGTTGTTCTAGCCGCTAAAACAACAACTATGGGCAGATGGTCTGATGCTAACGTAAGCATCGGTCGCCATGATATGCTGTTTATCAGACCAGCGCTGACAATTGTTAGGTCTGGCAAGCTGCAGCAGCTGCCCATAATCCTTGTGGGTGCGTCGTCGTTTATTGTGCAGAATGTCGAATCGTCTATCTGCTCAGCCAATTGTGTTCCCTACGATCGTTTGACAGGCTAGAGTGCCAAAGATCGTGGTGCGCATTAAAGTCACCTACTACCATATGGTTTTCACCTCTGAGGAGCGCACCTATATCAGGGTGATATCCTGCCGGGCAGCAGGTGACAGGGGGTATGTACACATTAAATATTTCGAGCTCAACATTGCCTGACCGGTTAGCAATGCCCTGACATTCTAGGGTGGTATCCCTGCGGTCTATGTCTGCTTCAGTAAGACGATACTGCACGTGTAGTAATGCGGGGTGTGAGAGATGTGTGTGGCCTTGACGCCATTGGCTGTGTGCGCTGCTGTGGTGGTTGCCGCCCTGTGGTGGTAGTGGGTGGCGTCGCAGTTGGGGTTTGCGACCGTGCAGCGGAACACGGGCCCTCGAAATTCCTCGTCCAATCTCGCGTGGTGCGCAGACCTGAACATGCCCTAAAGTGGCACCAGCCAAGGCAGGTGTTGCACTTGACTGATGTCACATTACGGAATATCCTGGTCTGACATACCGTGCAGATTGTAGGAGGAACCAAGAGTTGTTGGCGGCGGCGTGTGGGTGGTGGTGCGGTTGTGTATGTTCTGTGGTCTGTCGTGGTTGTGGTGTGGTCTATTGTTGTTGTTGTTGTAGCAGCATACAAATTCCCCAAAAACTTTTTGGGGAGTGTTGCTGGAGTGATAGTCCTTGGCCAGATATAAATCTGGGTCGTTCCGGTTACGTAGACCCGACTGTCGTGGGAACGGGTGTGGTCTATTGTGTTGTTATGCTGTGGTGCTGTGGTGTTTGTGTGGAGCTGCTCAGCTGGACTGGGGTTAGACTCTGAGGTGACTCCACTCCTCGCAAGCATTGCACTTGACTGAGGTGAAGTTGTGGTGTAGTCGTCTCTGGCATACACAGCAGGTGTAGGTTTCTGGCCCTGGGTTTGACTCGATGCCAGCCCTGAGCAGAAGAATACGTAGCAAATGTAGCCCTATGGACGAACAACTTCTGAGATACTTCGCCGACCTAAACGGGGTTAGATCGCCGAAACAACAGCCCTTGGTCGGGTAAAACCCTAGTCATTCCGATACGTAGAACCGGCTTGATGCATTTCTGAACACAACCCCTTCCTTTTCGACAAATTTATATCACTATTTTAACCCTCTACTGCTTTTTTCCTGTGTAGTAGGTTATACTGATTCATTATCTTGCATTATGTAGATCTATCGCTTTTCCATTTACTAGAAAAACCTCAAAAGTCCCAAGAAATAACTAAAAGAATTAATTTTAATGGTAGCAGTTTCTCCGAGGCGCCCGTTTGTCTTGAAAAGAACCACACGGAACTTTATTCTTAGAAAAATTGCTACAGTTTTCGCAATCTTACAGCTTACCTGCTAGACGAGACTATAACGTTCCCATAATAGTCGGGTCTGCGTGACGACTCGGATTTATATCTGGCCAAGAACTTGTCACTTTCCCCAAAAATTCTTTGGGGAATTTTCATGATGTTACAATGACTAACAGGCTATAAATTACGTTCCCACGACAGTCGGGTCTACGTAACCGGAACGGCCCAGATTTATATCTGGCCAAGGACTGTCACTCCAGCAACACTCCCCAAAAAGTCTTTGGGGAATTTGTATGCTGCTACAACAACAACAGGCTATAAATTAAATATTTTATTCCATACCTTCTTATGCTGTAAACAAGGCATAAACAAGGCCCTGGCTATAAACAAAAATTTATGTTCTACTTTTTGTTTAGTTGTATTTTCATATCAAATACCACCATACCACTCAATTCCTTAACACAAAACTTCCTTATATATATACATATATACATATATATATAAATTAAAAAATATTCAATTATAAAAAACACGCTGAATTAAAATTAATGTTTTCTATATTTATAAATTAATATTCATTAAAGTAGCTTATTAGATTACTAAACATTTTTAATAAAGTTTAAAACTATTACAAAAAATACGAAATGATAAACATAACATAGATATACATATGTAAATCGGACAAAGCCGAATTAGCGACGATATGAAAATGAGATATTTTCAAGCCGATGCAAACGCTGCCGTTAGTAATTATGGCGAGCAATAGGAGAGTTGTTGGGTACAAAAATTCTTGTATACAGAATGGTATGTGCAGAATCGTATGTAGGTGAACTAAAAAATATCCTAGCATTCCATGGCAAGCGAGTTTGAATTTTCATTAAGTGCATTAACACCATTTTCAATTGGCATATTTAAACTATTTTCATCGCAAGCTGCCTCTGGTGTATCCATCGATTCGCAACCTCCGCCATTGAACCCATTACCATTCGCACCTATTGCCGCCGCTTTTGCCGATGATGAAGCACCATCATCCATATCAGACATCGCATGCGCATTTAATTGGCCATTGCCATTTAACAGTCCATTTGAAGGTGTGTCATCCCAGTTTATTTTGAAGCGGGTTATACGCGGCTTTGTTGCTAATATATTACGTGTAAGTTTGTCAAACAAAGGTTTAGGTGGCGGGTTTTCACGCATTTCGGGATCAGCATAGTCATTGTTGATGAAGTAACCAACGCGTACAAACTCCTGACCACGATATGAGCAAGTAAGCAGCACTATTGTCACGCCAACAGCATCTTGTTCTGGAATTTTCGTCACATCGGGTGGATCTGCTTGAAAGACAAATATGTGGCGGCCTTCCGGCACGGGTCCTACGTATATTGTGTCCAACACTTGATCATACTCCTCCGACTCGGCAGAGCCAACATATATCATTTTCCATTCCAAATCCTCTTTCAACTCCTCAATACACTCGAAAGTTAACTCAAATTGAAAGGGATTGAAAAAACTGCTGGGATTGTCCAATACGACCACGTTTGTAATATGTACTTTTGCCATGGCGTTCGCTGGCGACAGAGGCAGAGAATTGCTTCAAAATTTACGTATTTTAATTATTCGTTTTATCCGCCTTTAAAATTATTTGGTTTCTTCAACTTTTAAACGATTTTTGTCTAAATTTTTTAACTCAGTCTATGGCGAAATTTTCACCAAGCACAAAAGCGATGACATTTCCAATTGCCTCTGACTTTCCCGCCAAACAAATTCCAGTGGAAGGTTAACGCATCATAATAGAGTGCTGCCAATATGTTGTATTAATTTTTTATCGAACATGCAACTCTACAATTTTTAGTCAGCTGCTGGCAAAGGGCAATTTATTCAAGGTGGTAGCAAGAATACAAAAAAAACAATCACTTGTGTTTGCGGGTGTTATGCAGCGTTTTTGCTGCATTTAAAATGCAACATTTAGCACTTTCGAACATATGTTTTCGAAGAGCTTTCATGCTACCGCATTTAGCAAATGTACATTTACGCGAGTTCGAAATCGTATGCTTTTGACAAACAGCCGTGTTCCAGTCGCTTATTCAGATCCGTATCTATTATGATCAATTATCACGCAGAAGATAATGTGCAAAAACTCTACTGAAAAGGAAAAAATAAATTTTAAACCAAAACTTCAATACAAAAATTTGAATTGTTTTAACCATGACCGACCATTTGTTTATGTATGTATTCATTTGTCGGTGCTGTCAATTAAAATTTCCTCACTTAATTAGGAAACAAAACAAACAGAATTGATCACAAATTGATCCAGATTTCTATCAGCATCACATCGATATTGAATTTTCTTAACTTTTCTTTATCCAAATAATGTAAAATAATAAATGAAATGTCGATCGGCGATCACTGAAACGCAGCTAGCCACTGTATACTCGAAAATGCAATGTTGCCACTTTTTCTCATTAAACCATGTTCGAATCGTGGAAATTTTGGAAGATCACAGGGTTGCTTTTAGCATTTAGATTCTTAATGCAAAAATGTAGTTGCATTTAGGTGACGAATTTTGTATGGATAATTGTACATTTAGAGTAGCGTTTAGAGCTAAATGCGCTAAATGTGCTTTTACGCGTAAGCAAAAACAGCCCATTATGTCAAATCTCAATACGTCCCAAAGTTTATGCAGCGTTTTTGTTGCATTTAAAATGCAACATTTAGCACTTTCGAACATATGTTTTCGAAGAGCGTTCATGCTATAGCATTTAGCAAATGTACATTTACGCGAGTTCGAAATCGTATGCTTTTGACAAAGAGCCGTGTTCCAGTCTCTTATTTAGATGCGTATATATTACGATCAATTCTCACGCAGAAGATAATGTGCAAAAACCCTACTGAAAAGGAAAAAATAAATTTTAAACCAAAAATTCAATACAAAAACTTGAATTGTTTTAACCATAAACGAACATTTGTTTGTGTATATATTTATTTGTCGGTGCATTCAATTAAAATTTCCTCACTTAATTAGGAAACAAACCAAACAGAGTTGATCACAAATTGATCCAGATTTCTATCAGTATCAAATCGATGTTGAATTTGCTTAACTTTTCTTTATCCAAATAAGTAATGCAAAATAAAAGAAATCTCGATCGGCGATCACTGAAACGCAGCTAGCAACTGTATACTCGAAAAAGCAATGTTGCCACTTTTTCTCTTTAAACCATGTTCGAATCGTGGAAATTTTGGAAGATCACAGGGTTGCTTTTAGCATTTAGATTCTTAATGCAAAAATGTAGTTGCATTTAGTTGCATTTAGGTGACGAATTTTGTATGGATAAATGTACATTTAGAGTAGCATTTAGAGCTAAATGCGCTAAATGTGCTTTTACGCGTAAGCTAAAACAGCCTATTACATGTACTTTGTTTTGGTTTTTGATGGGTGTGCTGTCAAATCAGTAAAAGCAAAAACAAAATACATGTAAGGCGAAGAAATCAGCTAATCTATCAACACCAACTTGTATAAATTCGACAGATCGGTTGGATGCCTTTTTTGTAGATTATTTATCTAAACTCGCTATTGGCACCCATTCAGCGCACCCTGTAGTTAGTATCCGATTGGAATTTTTACATCTTTCCCACTCTGTGTAAACAGCTGACTAATCCAAAATTTTTATTGTTCTACAATTTTTACCTTTTCGCATCTAGTTGAGATTTTTGTTGTTTTGATCTTATTTACGTCTTATAGGCTTGCAACGTGTTACAACAATAAACAGTAATCATAAAATACAAAATTAGTGCAATAAGACCGAAGTAAAAGTGTTGGAACTAGTTAGTACCTGGACAGCTACCATGATCCATCTAACAGGGCACAATTATAATGCCCGTGAGATCATACAAAATATATTTTCTCCGCTGGTGGGTGTGACGTGCAGCCCACTAGCCAACGATGTTTGTGCACGAAACAACTTGTCTTTTGTGGAAATGTTACAGCCATTCTCTAAATTGCTGAATGATGGTAAGTATGCATTGCTTCTCACTACCAGTTCCTTTATTATACGCATAGAATTTTACCTTCATTCAATTCGTAGCGCATTTTCGTGACGTGTCAGAAACGAGTGTTTCCATTAAGGGTCTACGCTTAAACTTTTGCGATATTGATTGGCGTCCGCCACAGATGGTGCTGGCGCGCAAAATGCTAAACGAGGCAGTGGCAAATGCCCATAATGAGAAAACTAAATATGTGACCATAGGTGAGCTAAAAGTCTTTTACATAAATAAACAACTATTAAAAAATTGGTTGCTTTTTTTTCTCGTCTTTAGGAAACATGGATTTACAGCTGCCCACTTCTGAGCCATGGTTCGAGCAATGGCGTGAAACATTTCTCACCGTGCAGTTCCCCGCTGATCATGAGTTTACGCGCCATTTTATAAGTTGCCTTATCGTCTTGAGCAGTAGCGATCCGAATATTGTAGAAAGCGCACAAAAGCTTACCCAACGCGTACATCAAATGCAAAGCGTAACACCACAAAAATTGCCCAAGTGGTTTCACTCCACTAATGTGCTCAATAGTTACGTTGTACTGCATGAGGGTTCACAAGGCGATATATCCAAGTCCGATGATGATATATATTTTTATAATTGGTATGTTCATTAAAATTTATTTTAATTTTAGAGCGCAACAAAGTTACGAGCTGCTTAAGTCTACATTCGGTAATAGTAAATGCTTCCTGGTGCAGATTAATTCACTAGATGCCACTGTATCCGGAGAAGTGTCTGACTATTGGGTGCCATACATCAAACGGCAGCCGAAAAATGTATAGTATTAAGCGTAAATTCTTAAATACTCTGAAGAACTTACCTCGTGTATTTTTCAAAATTCATTACACAATTAGGAGCTTCAGGTAGAGCAGCTAAGTGGTCCGAAAACACCGCAGGATGCTATGTCCATGATTTCCATGCCGAACATACAAATGTCTATACTTAGTGATGCAATGGCACCTACCGATAGTGTCACTGATGTAGCCATTATACATCCCTTGAGTCCAGTGCAAGAAAATGCAACAGAAGCCATAGTAAATCAGTGAATATTAGTTTCCGTGTTTTCTTTTCTAAAGTCTTATTTTTACAGAGCTCAAAGTTTTCAGTAAGCAGCGAGAGCATAGCTTCGCAAACCATAAATGCAAACGTATGGGCAAGTGAAACGGACGGTGATAACACAACGGTTCATGGAGGTTGCATGAATTCCATGGATGTCGAGAATTTGCGTCATTTCGTGCAGGATTACACTGTGCGTGCATTAATACCATACGCTGAACAATTGGTGGCCCTGCTTGTAGAAGCGGTAACAAATACTGGAAAATGTAAATTGTTTTTAAAAAACCTTTTAATTTATATATTCATAGATCACAAACAAAAAAGGTGTCAGTAAGTCTTTGCTTAGCGCCACTAAACGGTGGTTTGTTAGCAGCAAGCCTGGTTCGAATTCGGTCAATCAAAACGCTGTTATGTAAGTTTTATCCGTTTTTTTTTTATAACCGAGCGCACTTGTACACAACTTTGTTAACATAACGGCTGTTTGTAACACGCAAAACGAATCGAGATAGATATAGACAAATGTATACATAAATGATCAGAATGAAAAGAGAAATCGATTAAGCGGTCACTGTCTGCCCGTCCGTCTGTGCACACGATAACTCGAGTAAAAATTGACATATCTTAACGAAACTTGGTAGGTTTACTTCTTTCGGGCGTAGGACAGATGGTATTGAAAATGGGAAAAATCGGACAATAACCACGCTTACCTCCCATATAATGTTTTTTTTTTTAGAAAACTGATATTTTAGTAACTACCAAGGCACATTAAACAGGTAGTATCAGTAGAGCAAAAACAACATTTGCGTGTATTTTGTTGTTGCTTCTGGTATCGGAAGTGTCAAAAACTGTTCTGAATTTTTTCTTCTAAATCAAAGCGTGCCATGTGAAATACAAAAAAATATAAAAAATAAAAAATTGAAATTGGAAAAAATAAAAATTGATGCAACTTTCTTTCCCAGTAAATTTGTTTGCTTCTCGAAGCATTGATCCATCCTTTGCAAGGCCCAGTAATCAGCGGTCGTGCTGCTGAGTTGGGCGAAGGTTCCAAAAGCTGCTATTCAATCGCTTGTTTTGTATGGAAAAAGGTTTCACATGCAAATGGATTTTAACAATTCAGAATTTTTGTGAGAAAAAATTAAAAATATTTGACATTTTCGAGACCAAATAATTTGAAAATAAATCAAATCAGCTGCTCTACTGATACTACCTGTTCAATGTACCTTGGTACCGAGTCAACGCAGTAAACAGTTTGCTTGTTTGAATCATACACTTGTACAATTTCAAACGAACCGAATCGTTGCATGTACATTGTAACACTCGTTCTGTATAAACGACTTGTTGGATTCATTCGGGAGTTACATACACTGCCGGCAAAAAGTAGTGGCACAGCTGCTTTTTTACAATATATGCAGCAATTTTTATTGTTATATTTTCCTGAATTTTTTTTTATAAAAACGTGATTCACTCCAAACAAAATTCGCGAAAATTCAACAAATTTTCATGCAAATTTTCAACATTTAATCAGATTTTTTAGAATTTTCTTTTGGTATGCAGATTTGTAGCCCATTAAATTCTAGTATGAAAAATGCAAGCTCGGAGTTATTCAAAAATCGCATTGATTTTTGAGAATTTTTTTTTTGTTGAAGGTGTTTTGCATTTTTTCCATATAAAGTATTTTCGAAAAATTTTTTTGTATGGAAGAGACTGCGGAAAAAAATTGCCAAAAATCAACGGGAAATTGAAAATTTGAATAAAAATTTGTTGAATTTTCGCGAGTTTTGCACAAAGTTCAGAAATCATATTTTTTGTTTTTTGTTGTGGAATGAACCATATGTTTATAAATAATTTTCGGAAAAATATTACTATAAAAATTGTTGCATATATTGTAAAAAAGCGTCTGTGGCAATATTTTATATTTACTACTTGCGCCGGGTATTTAATGCTCGGCTCCGCCCGAACTTAGACTTTCTTATTTGTTTTAAATATATTTATATATGTTTGCTTTTCACAGCTATACAAATGAATCATCGGAATTGCAAACCCGCAAACTTGGGGATCTTTATTTCATATTCGGGCATTACAATCTGGCTTTTCAGGTAATACAACAATTTCACCCTACAAAACTAATTATAAATTCACTCGGGCTTTCATTTTCAGGCTTATCATCAAGCTAAACGCGATTTCAATGCCGACTCCGCTTGGCAGTATTATGCAGGAGCTTTGGAAATGGCTGCCGTCTCGGCATTTATGCTAGGCACTGCGAATCGTAAAACTTTTGATTACATGGAAGATGCCATTATGTGTTATTTAACGGTTTGCAAGTACGTTATACGTTTCTAATTCACCCGCTCTTGTTATAATATAAAACACGTTTCACCACAGATTACAACAATTTGCGACGCGTGCCACCCTGCTCAGTATGGAATGTTTACGCACATCACGCATGTACGGTGAGGCCGCTAAGCAATTGATACGA